GCTGGTTCGGATCTGATCAGAGGCTGGTTCGGATCTGGTCAGGGGCTGTTTGGTCGGTTTTAGGTGAACTTGGCGATTAGGGTTTCTGGTTTTGGACCTGGTACTCGTTGGTTCGGGTTCTTTGTTTTAGGGTTTGTTTTCTTTTGAAGGTTGCTTGGTTTCAGGCCGTTATTCCTTGATTTTTTCTCTGGTTTTTTTCTCTCGTTTTGCAATGGCCGAGGACGGGAGGGTTCGAATCGAGAAGTTCAACGGTACTGATTTTGCATGGTGGAAAATGCAAATAGAGGTGTTGCTTGGTGAGTGCGATTTGGACATGGTACTGGAAGAGAAACTGGATGGAATGGATAAGGCTGCTGAAGCAATTTGGGACTCAAAGGACAAAAAGGCAAGAGGTAAAATTACACTAGCTTTGATGAGTGTGGCGTTTAATATCATGAAGGAAACAACTGCTCGTGGTATGTTAACAGCTCTGTCAAATATGTATGAGAAACCGTCGGCCGGTAATAGAGTGTTCTTGATGAGGGAATTGTTCATGATGAGAATGAACGAGGGCAGCCCCGTTCCTGATCACATTAATGAGGTCAATTCGATCTTGTCGAGGTTGTCATCAGTAGGCATGAAGTTTGATGATGACACTCAGGCTGTGATTCTGTTATCTTCATTGCCTGATAGTTGGTCAGGATTTGTGACAACGGTTACTGAAACTGCTGGAACAGGAAACTTGAAGTTTGATCGGATACGAGATAGTGTTTTGGGTGAAGACATTCGCCGGAGGAATGCTAGTGGAGGATCTACTTCTGGGTTACTCAGTGTTAGCAGGGGAAGAGGTAATAACAGAAACAGTGGGAGTCGTGGGAAGAGCTCGTCTAAGGCTGGAAAGAATGTGGTGTGTTGGGTCTGCAAAGAAGTTGGGCATGTCAAGAGTCAATGCCCAAACAAGAAAAACGAAATTAGCGCAATTGTTGGGAATGCATCTGATGATGATAGTGATGCATTGATACTCAGCATGGAAAGCTATGTTGACTCTTGGGTCATGGATTCTGGTGCTTCGTTTCACGCCATGCACAACGGTGAGGCGATGGTGAATCTCAAAAAGGGAGACTTTGGAAAGGTAAAGTTGGGTAACGGGAAAATCCTTAAAGTGACAGGCATGGGAGATATTGATCTAAAAACTTCATTTGGAACTACTTGGAGCTTACAAAATGTCAGGGTGATTCCAAGACTGAAGACAAAGTTAATCTTAGTCGGACAATTGGATGAACGGGGACTAGACGTCAAGTTTGGTGGTGGAAAATGGAAGGTGATCAATGGAAATTTGGTTATTGCTCGAGGCTTGAAAAGAGGATCGTTATACATGGTACCGGTGACGTCTGAGGGAGTGACCAACCCGGTAAAGACAATTAACAAAGTCCGGCTCACTGAATCGGGCAAAACTAAGAAGGTTCATTTTGCAAACGTGAATCTTGAAGTTTTGGGGATGACAGTTGAGTGTGTTTGGAGGTCTGAATCAGGTCAGGGATTTTGTGACAGTGGGAGCATGGGACGTGTTCCGAGTACAATTTTGAAACGTCGTTGGGTTTTGAGGACCAAGAATCCGAACGTTAAAATCTCTCCTGGGAATAGTTTGCTGGATTTGGAGAGTGGTAATGGTCCTCGGTGTATCTCTGGATCCGGTGGATTGTGCAAGCCGGTTGAGACAGAGGCTGTGGCGGATACAGTCACGACTGGGTTGGAGCTCGGTGGAGCTTCAACTGTCCTTTC